CCCCTCCCGCCCCCACCAGCCCCTCCAGCCACACCCCTTCCTCTCTCCTTCCTGCCCACCAGCCTGGATTTTTCCAAAACAGAGTGCGACACAGCACAGCATCCACAAACCTCTCTACACACCAGCCCTGCTGGAGGAAAACAGCCATTCCGGCCCTGTGAGTCCTGGGCCACGGGCCAGGGACAGGAAAACAGCTCAACAAACAGGCCCAACAGCACGGCACCAGGCTGAGGGCCGCAACTGTGCCGCCTCTGGCACAGGCCTCCTCGCACGGGGCAGACTGCGGGGGTCCCCCATGGCTGAGCAGGGCATGGACCAAAGACCCTGGGATCACCCAACCTGAGACAGGTGTCTGGGAACTTTAGACACTAGGTTTTCCCTCCTCTGCAGCACACAGGCCATTCTAGAATCCGCTCGCTCGCTTAGTGTTCCCTTGACTAGACTAGCTACGCCAGAAGTCACAACCCTCTTCCCACATCCAGACAGGACACAACCCTTACCCACCTTGGCACACATTAGACACACGCGCATTCATCCCAAATCAACAAACTTTCCTTCTAAAAAAAAAAACCTCCCATCCCAACTAAAGGGCCGCTTCTTTCTTTCCTGGGACCAAGGTCATACCCACCATCACGTCAAAAAGTTCTTCATGATGTCTGACTTCACTCTCTCTTGCTGCAGCTTTCCCTGACAAGCTATGTCTGGCCCAGGCTGGGGCTGGGGGAAGCAGCAGCATCAGGACCTGGCCGTAAGTGTGCCCAGGCCGTCAGGTAAAGGCTTTAGTTCACACATCATCTCCTGGCCAAGGGCTGGGAGAGCAGGGTACAACCAGATCCGAGCAGCAAACCCAGGAAGGGGTGGGGAAGGCACTCATCAATTCACTGAGCCCCTTCAAGTCTCTACCTCCTCATCTGAAAAATGGGACCAAGGGCGCCTGGGTGGCTCAGTTGCTTAAGCATCCAACCTTGGTTCAGGTCATGATCTCATGGTTTGTGAGTTCAAGCCCCACATTGGGCTCTATGCTGGCAGCATGGGACCTGCTTCGGATCCTCTGTCTCCCCCTCTCTCTGCCCCTCCCCTGCTCACTCTTTCTCTCTCTCTCTCTCTCAAATAAATAAACATTTAAAAAAAAATTTTTAATGGGACCATAGCATCCACCATAGGGGTGGTGTCTGGGGATCACCAAAATACTCAATCCAGCTCCGGGCCCTTGGTCAAAATAACAGTAATAAGAATGGCTAATATTTATTGAGCATATATTATATGCTTTGGGTGCACTACTTTAGTTCGTCCTCAGCAGTAGGTACACACAAAGCCTAATTTCTGACCCACATCTCAGCCCCCAAAATACTGCAAACTTGGACAAGAGTCCCTCCCCAACATGTGCACTCCGTGCCCATAGGACCCACGCGTACCTTGAACAGAGCCTTCCCCACTAATTTAAGAGGCATGCTCCCGCTCCTCCTGGACAGGTTGTACAGCCCCAGGGACGCCTCCGCCTTGCAGGGCTGGCCATGAAGGGCTGCCCCAGGGCAATGTGGCCGTGGCCACGGGCTCACCACACAAGGGTGGCCGCCTGCAGGAGCTGCCTCCCGCAGCCTGAGCACCTCCCTCTGGGGCCCTCCCCATGGCGGGTCAGGCAGCTGTCAGATGATAGGGCCTCATGCCATCAACAGCTCCCCCTGTGCCAACCGCCAAAACCACTCCCTGTTCCTCTGTGGATCAGGGCGAGCAAGGATGGAGGCCAGCATAGGGGCAAATTGTCAGACGAGAGTGGGGAAGAAAGAGAAAGGCCCGACTGTGTGGGGTGTCTACCCCGGGCACATGAGGACAAGCCCAGACACGAGCACCACTCAGAGCAGGGTCCCAGGAGAGCCCCTTCTGCCCTTCCCAGGGGTCTCTCCATTTAAGCAATTTGCCCATTGACCTCCACCAAAACTGCCCACCAGGAAGAGCCCAGAGGGGTCAACGGGCCCAGCTTCCAGCTTCTTCCTCCAGAATCAACGGCACTGAAGCCACAAAGAAGATCCTGGCGTTTGCAAAGACCCCTTTTTTTTTTTTTTTTTTTTTTTTGGGACAGAGAGAGACAGAGCATGAATGGGGGAGGGGCAGAGAGAGAGGGAGACACAGAATCGGAAACAGGCTCCAGGCTCCGAGCCATCAGCCCAGAGCCTGACGCGGGGCTCGAACTCATGGACCGCGAGATCGTGACCTGGCTGAAGTCGGACGCTTAACCGACTGCGCCACCCAGGCGCCCCCAGACCCCTTTTTTCCAAAGAAGCAGAGCTTGTAATTCCTCAAGGTCTGATGACCCTCTGTGAGCCCAGGAGTCCTTCTTCACCTCTGTCCTTAGTCCCTCTGCTATAGCTCTGCTAGTATCCTGCTCACCACCGAGCCAGACCTCACAGCACACCCTTGCTGCCTCCCTCCCCTGGAGCACTGAGGTCTGGCAAAGTGATGGGCAAATGAGCTCTGGATGCAGCCGACCTGGGAGCCAAAGCCAAGACTGAGGTCCAGTATGTAAGTCCATGGGGTTTGTTCACCATTCCAACCCCTCCTCCCCTGCTCAGCCATAGCACTCAGAGACCCCTGCCTGTCCTTCTGGAAAGGAGGTAAGGGATCCTTCAGCAAGGCAGGTAGTATAGATCATCCACACCTCCAATCCCCCTGGGGCACCATGAGCCCAGCCAAACCCTTCCCTTCCCCATCCCCATACTTACGTCTTCCTCAAGGCTTTTCCGTGTGTTTCCACCCCGGAAAGCTCCTTCTCCCTGGAGAAAAAACACAGTCAGAGAGGGGAATCAAGGAAAGTAATCGAAGGGCACCCTCATTTTTCACCTACTGGCATTGGCAGGGGTTGGGGGTGAGGGAGCTGGCAGAAGGGCCTCGGAGGCAACTTAGTTGTGTGTTTAGCATTTCTTTGTCCACTAAAAGCCCCTCAGAGCCAACCAACCCTCTCATTTGTGTTATAATCTTCCTCTTCCCATTTTGCAGGTAAGAAAAGTGAGGTACAGGCAGGCTCATGAATTGCCAGTGGCCACACAATTAGAAGCCTGAATGAAGGGGCGCCTAGGTGGCTCAGTCGGTTAACCGTCCAACTCATGGTTGCAGTTCAGGTCATGATCTCACGGTCTGTGAGTTCGAGCCCAGCATCGGGCTCTGTGCTGGTGGTGTGGAGCTTGCTTGGGATTCTCTCTCTCCGCCCCTCCCCTACTCCTGCTCTCTTGCTTGCTTGCTCTCTCAAAGTAAATAAATAAACTTAAAAAAAAGAAGCAGCTTGTATGAGGCAGGATCTGAACACAAGCCCTCCAACTGTAAGCCCATTGTTACGTGCTGGCCGTTGCCAGGAGATCCCCCTCAGCTGCTAATCTCAATTTCCACACTCTGGGACCCACCCACTCTCTTCCCCTCCTCCTCATGCAGCCTTGAGGAAATTGGAAAACTGTCTGTCTTTCTGCTAAGTCAGAAAGTTCTGTTTGGAAACATCTGCCTGGCTTTCTCACATTCTACATATTTAATAAAGAAACCCACATTTAACCACTGGCCTCTCCCACCTGCCTCCCTAATTCCCTAGCGATCCATTTCCGAACACGTAAGTGATGTCAGATGCCCAGGTCCCCACGTGACCCACAAGCCCATCACTTCCCCCCAAGTTCCCCAAGTCTACTCCAGAAAGATGTCCCCAAACACATCTGTTCACTTTCCCCCAAATCCACCTTCTGCTTTCTGAGCTTCCCACACTATGCCCAGACTGTTTCCCACACCTGCTGCCACTCACCGTGTCGGCTACATTCTTCGGGGCATTCTCAGGGTTGATGGGCTGCAAAACACAGGGAGAAAACAGTGTGAGGCCTCAGGGCGAACAGCCACAGGTTGGGTCTCAGGCTGGCTCTCTCAGGGCTGGTGGCCGTGAGGGGCGGAATGCCTCTTGAAGCAGGGCCCATGCCGCCGACCCAAGGCTCAGACGTAACCTGGCTAGCCCCATGCTTGGGAGGCAGAGTTCGGAAAACGTAAAATAATCCGACTGGTACTAGAACGAGCCAGCTCGATGAACCTCTCACCAAGGCCTGTGATTCAGTTGCTGACCCCTCCAAAAGGAACACAGAGAGGGTCAAGGTCATGCCTATCCCTACGTGCCAGCCATCTTCACCTGTACCGGCTCATTTATTCATGACGAGAACCCAGTGAGGTGGGTCCCATTATTTTACCTTTGAGCCCCCACTTCACAGAAAAGGACAAGGTAAATAAATGAGTAGCCCAAAGTCATCGACTACTACTGGCCACAACAGGATTTGAACCCCATCTTGGGACTCTGCACTTCATGGTCTTTGTGTGAAATCCCCACAGTCCAGGATGAAGTCTGCCAGAGACTTAACTCTTCTGTGGGCTTTCAAAGCCCCCCACCATTAGCCCTGCCCCAAAGCTCTGCCCCATCCAGACCTGTCCCTAGATCTCCTGGTTTATTCCCACATTCAGGCCTTTGCTTGCGGAACGGCTCCTGCGTCCACACTCTTTTCTGACAAGGTCTCCGCCCAGAGGCCCTTCCTGAACACCCAGTAAGGAGGACTCCCTCCCACCTTGGATCTCCAATAAGCCCTCTCTCTGTGCTACGTCTCTGGTCCTTCGGGTATAAATAATCTCATCATGGGAATATGTCTTGTTCCCCAAATACTGTTTTGTGAGTCCTACTCACCTGCCTCCAAAAAACATTCAAAGCAGCATTTTTACCAACTCAGCTGCCATATCCCTCACGCCGGGGACTGGGATATATGTGTAGCCGGCCACCAATACATGCCGGCTGATCCTGTCCTGATGCTGATCCTGGACTGATCCTGTCCCTGATGTTGGCTCCACCCTTTCCCTACCAGGACAACATTAGTGTTTCCTACTAAAGG